CTGAAAGTCCCAGATGTGGTAGGGACACTGTTTATATGCGTGCTTTACATTAGAATACACATGATCAAGTGTGATGTTTCCCCTGGTGGCACGTCACATACTGAAGGGAAATATAGTCTTTAGGCATGCCTTATTAATCATCTCATTGAAAAAAAAATCTCTAATTTAATGGGGAGCATTTGAAATAGATAAAAAAAATTGGGTAGGGTAGTCATTTTGATCGCCGCTATTCTTCCTAACAGTGATAGTTGTAATTTGGCCCATAATTCTAAATCTTCGTTGTATAAATTTACTCTTCTCTTTTATTGTTATACAGTGTGCGGTCAACCAGATACCTAAATATTTAATTTTCTTTGTTATTTGCAGTCCCATTGCTCTTTCCAATGCTATTTTCTGTGATTCCATCAAGTTTTTAGTTACAACTTTAGTTTTTTGTCTATTAATTTTGAGGCTGGATATTTCCCCACATCTTTCCAATTTTCTAATTATCTCCTTCCCTGTCTCTATGGGGTCCTCTATGATAAATGCCAGGTCATCCACAAAGGCTTGCAATTTATATTCTTCCTTTTTGACTTTAGTTCCTTTTAACGCTGGATTGAGGCTAATTTGTCATAGGAGACTCTGTAGCGATAAGATAAAGTTACCTGCAACTTTTCAATGGATATTTTTCTTTTCTTTCAAGAGGAAAGGTAGAGAAATTAGCCTGAGAGAAACAGAGAAATTAGCCTGAGAGAAACATAGAGAAATTGCACTGCTGTTGCACAGCAGTGTGCAACAGCAGCCAAAAAAACTAATGCAATCCTAAATTACATTAACTGAGGGACACAATCTAGAACAAGTGAGGTGCTAATACCACTCTATAAAGCCTTAGTAAGGCCACATCTAGAGTACTGCATCCAGTTTTCGTCACCACACTATAAAAAAGATGTTAAGACTCTAGAAAAAGAACAGAGAAGAGCAATGAGGATGATGAGGGGACTGGAGGCTCATACGATTGCAGGAAGTGGGCCTGGCTAGTCTAGTGAAGAAAAGGACCAGGGGAGACAGGAGAGCAGTCTTCCAATATCTGTGGCGCTGGATGAACCGGCCACGGAGAGTTAACACTGCTGCTGTAACAACGAAGGCTGAGGCACAGCAGCAGTGGAAGACTCCGCTCCTGACATCCTTCGACGGTCGGGAGCAGGGGGTCCCCAGGATCGACGCAGCCAGCCATGATTACGCTCGTCCCGAGTGTTCCCCCACCTGTATCTAAGGGGGATCCAGTTGAGGGGCGGCATGCTCCTTACGAGATCAAGGAGTGCACGGGGTACCGATCGCCAGAACACCGACAAGACTTGTAAGGGAGCCTGCCGGGCCCTGGAGACAATCAATCACGTCCTGCAAGTTTGTGAGGTGATGCATGATGCCCAATGTGCATGGCACAACCATGTCGTGGAGCGCCTGGATCAATTCCTGTGACGGTAAGGCCTCCATCCGTGTCGAGCCCATCATAATATCCGGCACTTCATTCATTAAACCGGATTTACTAGTGGAGGCGATGAACTGGCTCTGGGTTGTGGATGTCTCCATAGTGCCCGGTTACCGAATGCGAGAGACCTGGGACATCAAGGTCTCCAAATATGGACATCCTGACCGCATCACTGATATTCACCGTTGGACCACTGTTTCCCCTTCTGTCTCAGTGCACCACCTCCCTGTCATCGTTTCTAACCGGGACCACTTTACAACCCATCTGGCACTGGGCTAAGGACTTTGGGCTTGAGCCGCAGGGATGTAACCATCGCAGGATCGATCAAATGTTACGATGTTTACATGCGTGGAACCGGGAAAGGTTGAGTCCAGATCTTGGGTGACGTGTGATTAATGACACTGCCATAAGCGGCGACTCCACTAGTGTGACCATCTTTTGCGAATTTTCGCTCTCAGACAGGTTCTGATAATTTATGGTAAAAATTGAGGGGCTGCCCCAGAGAGGAGGAAGAAGTCAAGCTATTTTTTAAAGCACCCAAAGGCCAGACAAGAATCATGGATGGAAACTGATTCAAGGAGAGATTCAACTTGAAGATAAGGAGAAACTTTCTGACAATGAGAACAATCAACCAATGGAACAGAAGTTGCCCTCGGAAGTTGTGGGACCTTCATCACTTGAGGCTTTCAAGAAGAGATTGAACTGCCATCTGTCAGAAATGGTATAGGGTCTTACGCTTGGGCAGGGGGTTGGACTAGATGACCTACAAGGTCCCTTCCAACTCTGATTATCTGTTATCTGAATAGAGCCAGATACAAGAGGGTCAGCTGCACTTGTGATGGGTTACCTGCTAAAATACAGCCAGGTCATACACACACACTGAAAGTAAATCAGGAAGCCTGTCATTGTGGAGTCTGTCTGGCAAGAACAAATAATTCTTATCCACAGGAAATACACCTGTGTAAATCTCGTGACAATCCTGGCTAATTAGAAGGCTGGTAAAAGTAACAAGAGTTAGGCATCTTGCAGGCCTCAGCTAAAAGTGAGAAACAGAGATGGCCTGGAGCAAACCAAACGTGTTATGAGATAACTCCTAGGGCATTCCTTAGCCAAGGCTTGGGAATAGGGACAGCTAGAGACCAATAGAACAAATTGTTACAGCACTACAAAAAGGTTTATTAGATGATATTTCTTATTATCCCGTTTTGTTCCGCCTTCTCCTTTGGTGAACATATATAAAGCTTTCTGAATCCTTTGTTCTTGGCATTTTGGCCCTTTTCCTTGGGGTACTCCAATAAAAAGCAATTGAAAGAGGGGTGGGCTTCCAAAATCCCAGCAACAGGTTCTCTGCCCGGTTGCTGGGTGGGCCTGATCATGGTGGGTGGGGTAGGTTGGGAGGGGCCAGCCAGAGGGGGGATTTGGCGGTTTGCGGGACCAGCCATAACATTAGCCACAGGTCCGCCCGAACCCGGGAGAACCCGTCGCAGCCCACTCCTGACTCAAAACCAGCACCTCATGTCTGGTGTGCCTCCTTGGCATCAGCACCAAGCTCAGACCCGAATTGAGGATGACAATCGTGAAGTCAGATAACAGATAATCAGAGTTGGAAGGGACCTAATAGATCATCTAGTGCGGAGGGTTTTCCGGCACTTCCCTCCCCTGCCCAGCCCCCTCCTTACCTGGGGTCTCCTTTCCCCCTTCGCTTCCAGGGATCCGGCCCAGCACCCCCACCAGCAGCCTCAGCAGGAGCCCAGCAGAGCCCATGGATGCCACACCACAAGCACCCCTAAAGAGAGGGGAAGAAGACACACATGGAGGGTACCAGCCTCAGAGGCGGAATTGGGGCTCTGAATTGAGGCAAAGACCTTGATTCTCCTCTTTGAAAGACACGTCAGGAACGTCCTGAGGTAAATTCAAACAGCCCAGAGAAGGAATAGGTGGGGGGGAAAAGGGAAATGCCCCCTTTCCACCTGCAGCAACCAATCAGAGCACAGATCCCCTCAGGCGAGAGCCCGCCCTCACTCACGAGGAATGAGCAGAAGCACCAATGGGAATTGTCCCTGCATGAGCGTCATCGGTCTCCGGGCAGAGTCCTTTGTGACTTCACCTGAAGGAGGAGGGAGCATTCAGCGCAGAGAGCGAAAGTGGGAGGGGGGGATCCCTTCAGTCTTGGGGGAAGGTTGCAGCTCAAGGGGGGGGGGGGTTCATGGCAGGCCCTGAGGGGACCCTCCACTTTCTTTGCTTTCTTTACCATTCTCTGCCGGGGATTCCCACTTCGACCCCCCTCTTATTTCTCCCCCATCCGGATCAACAACCGCCCTTCTTGAACCATAGCTGACCTTCCATTTGGGGTAGGTCAGACAACCCCTCAGCGCTGGGGGTGAAACCGGCCCTTCGGCAGCCCCTTTGCCAGGAAGGGAGCCAAAGGCAGAAGCTTTGGGGAAGGGTGTGGAGGGCAGTGACCCTACATGATTAGGGGAAGGGCACTCCTAATCATTAACTCAAGGTTAACCGCACCAAACTTGATTGAAGGAAATAGGACTTCAGCAACAGAGGGGACAATGTCTGGAATCCTCTGTGGTTTCTTCCCCAAACCCCAAAAACTTTAACCTGAGACTGTCTACTATTGACCTCACCCCTTCCTAAGAGGTCTGTAGGGGGCGTGCATAAGTTTCTTTTTATTTTTCTTATATGTATCAATTTTATGTATTCACAACTATGTTTATACTTATACCTGTTATCTTATAATTGCTTGACAAAATAAAATAAAATAAAATATAAATAAATAAATAAATAAAAGCCCCAGCAGACAGCAACCAGAGGGTCGGGGTCCCTGGGGGTGGGGGAAAGGGAAGCCCCTTCCGCCGTTCTCTGGGGACGGTCCCGGCTGAGCGGGCGGGGCTGACTCGGGGTTCTCGCCCCGCATCTGATCCGGGAGCGGGAGGCAGGAACCGGCCGGGCTTTTCCGGGGCAGCGGTGGTCTGAGCCTCCCTCACAGCGAAGGGCCGGCCACGGAGCCACCGGAGAAGGAGCCCCGTCGAGGGGCGGCGGGGAGAAGCGCCCCCTGCTGGCCCTGGCCGCCCCTTCCCCACAGGTTCAAGCCCCAGGAGGCGGGAAGGGTGCTGGCTGTTCCCCCCACGCCTCGCCCACGCGCGCCTCTCCAGGGGTCTCCCAGGCTCCCCCCGCGGCCCTTCCCGCCGCCCTGGGCCTCCCTTGGACGGAGCCCTCGCTCCCTTCGGCTCCCTCTCAGGGCCAGTCTCGGCCAGGGAGACTCCCCCGCTCCTCGCCCCGAACGGGCCCGTCCACCCCCTCCCCCGGGAGAAGCAGCAGCGGACGGCAGGGAAGTCTGGTCGCGTGTAGAGGCCGCCGGATCTCCCGAGACCCCGCGGAGAAAAGCGTTGGGGGGGGGGCGGGCAGGAGGGACGGAGCCTCCCAGGGCGAGGCGTGGCAGGACCGCCGCCTCCCAGCCGGGAACGAAACCGAAAACGCCTCCACCACGCAGGCGCCCAAGCCGCTCTCAGCCTCTCAGGCGGCGGCCCGTCTGCGGGCTCGGAACTTTCCGGCTACTTGGCTGCCCTCCCAGGCGCAGAAGCGGCGCCCCTTCCCGGCTCCAGCCGAAGCTGCCTTTCTCCCCGTCCGTTGCCCGACAGACCGGAGGCCCCTCGGAGGGGGGGTGGAAGGGGGCTTCTCTGAGCGAAGGAGCTTTGCAGGTGAACTTTCTTCCCATGGAAACGGCGCCCCGACTCTTCCCGAAGGGCCCCCGGGGATGAGGGGGGAGCCCCCGACGGGGGTGGGGCGCCCCCGCCGGTGTGGCTTTTGCTCTGTCGGGGGGGGCTCGGGGGGGGGAAGGGCTGGCGGGAGGGGGGGGGGGGGGGGGGGGGAGGGGGGGGGGTCTATAGGGCTCCAGGCTTCCTTCTTCCCCAGGCGAACCAAGGAAGGCCGTGACTCTCCGAGACCCCCGGGCTGGCCGGGCTGAGTTTGAGGGACACGAAGAGCGTAAGGGGCTTCCCTTGCCCTCTTATTTATTTATTTATTTTATTTATTTGATTTGCCAATTGTTTACAAGATAATAAGTATAAGTGTATACATAGTTGTGAATACATGAAATGGGTACATATAAGAAAAATAAAAGAAGAATAAGAGAAACAATAGGACAGGGACGGTAGGCACGTTGGTGCGCTTATGCACGCCCTGGGCAGCCCCCCCTTCCCTTGTTTGCAAGAAGCCTCCTTGCTTGGCCAGTTCTGGCCGCTTCTTTGCCCCACTTTCCCCGGGGGAAGGGCTTTCAGAGCAGGTTCCCTGCAGGAGGGGGAGGGGCTGAGAAATGCGCCCCACAATAGCCCCCCCCCCCCAGACAAAGAGCCAATGAGCAGCTTTCCCTTCCGGCCTCAGCAAAGGGGACTTATTCTGTCTTATGATTCACTTGCTGAATATAAAGACAGATAGAATAACTATACAAATTCTTCTATACAAAGTTTCTTTTATTGGATTATATTAGGTATCTTCAAGGTGACTCACAGTCATGTCCAATTCTTTGCATAGTTGAAATCATAGTGTAAATGATAGTAATCTTTCTATCCCATATTTCATCCCATAGTCGTAGAAGCAGGGTAGAGCTACTACCAGGAGGCTGTGATCAGGAAAGAGTAAGGGAGCCTCCCCCAACCCAACAAGGGTCAATTTAGTGACCAATCAGGATTACAGATGTGACCAGGTGACATGGACTACATTTCTCAGGATACCTTTACACTGCTCAAAAAAATAAAGGGAACACAAAAATAAGACATCTTAGATCTGAATGAACAAAATATTCTTATTAAATACTTTGTTCCTTACCTAGTTGAATGTGCTGACAACAAAATCACACAAAAATTATCAATGGAAATCAAATTTAGCAACCCATGGAGGTCTGGATTTGGAGTTACACTCAAAATTAAAGTGGAAAAAAACACTACAGGCTCATCCAACTTTGATGCAATGTCCTTAAAACAAGTCAAAATGAGGCTCAGTAGTGTGTGTGGCCTCCACGTGCCTGTATGACCTCCCTACAACGCCTGGGCATGCTCCTGATGAGGTGGCGGATGGTCTCCTGAGGGATCTCCTCCCACACCTGGACTAAAGCATCCCCCAACTCCTGGACAGTCTGTGGTGCAAAGTGGCGTTGGTGGATGGAGCGAGACATGATACCCCAGATGTGCTCAATTGGATTCTGGTCTGGAGAACGGGCGGGCCAGTCCATAGCATCAATGCCTTCATCTTGCAAGAATTGCTGACACACTCCAGCCACATGAGGTCTAGCATTGTTGTGCATTAGGAGGAACCCAGGGCCAACCGCACCAGCATATGGTCTCACAAGGGGTCTGAGGATCTCATCTCGGTACCTAATGGCAGTCAGGCTACCTCTGGCGAGCACATGGAGGGCTGTGCGGCTCCCTAACGAAATGCCACCCCACACCATTACTGACCAACTGCCAAACCGGTCATACTGGAGGATGTTGCAGGCAGCAGAACATTCTCCACGGCATCTCCAGACCCTGTCACGTCTGTCACATATGCTCAGTGTGAACCTGTTTCATCTGTGAAGAGCACCGGGCGCCAGTGGCGAATTTGCCAATCTTGGTGTTCTCTGGCAAATGCCAAACGTCCTGCATGGTATTGGGCTGTAAGCACAACCCCCACCTGTGGACGTCAGGCCCTCATACCACCCTCATGGAGTCTGTTTCTGACCGTTTGAGCAGCCACATGCACGTTTGTGGCCTGCTGGAGGTCATTTTGCAGGGCTCTGGCAGTGCTCCTCCTGTCCCTCCTCGCACAAAGGCGGAGGTAGCGGTCCTGATGCTGGGTTGTTGCCCTCCTACGGCCTCCTTCATGTCTCCTGATATACTGGCCTGTCTCCTGGCAGCACCTCCATGCTCTGGACACTACGCCGACAGACACAGCAAACCTTGCCACAGCTCGCATTGATGTGCCATCCTGGATGAGTTGCACTACCTGAGCCACTTGTGTGGGCTGTAGACTCCGTCTCATGCTACCACTAGAGTGAAAGCACCACCAGCATTCAGAAGGGACCAAACCATCAGCCAGAAATCATAGGAACTGAGAAGTGGTCTGTGGTCACCACCTGCAGAACCGCTCCTTTATTGGGGATGTCTTGCTAACTGCCTCTGCTTTCCACCTGTTGTCTATTCCATTTGCACAACAGCATGTGAAATTGATTGTCAATCAGTGTTGCTACCTAAGTGGACAGGTTGATTTCACAGAAGTGCGATTGAGTTGGAGTTACATTAAGTGTTCCTTTTATTTTTTTGAGCAGTGTACATGTACCATGATGCATTCCCTTAAGGGGACAGCTCTCAACTCCTAACTAACTATCCCACATCTCATTAACTCTAAACTGTCTGGACAGCACAGGACTGAAGAGCCCCATGGCGGCCTCAGGGGAGGAGACGCTGGTGGGGCAGCTGGGCGAGTTGGCCACCTGCCCGATCTGCCTGGACTTCTTGGAGCAGCCGATGGTCCTGTCCTGCGGGCACAACTTCTGCCGCCGCTGCCTGGCCCAGCTGGGCGATCAGTCTTCCTGCCCCCTGTGCAGAGTCAGGGTGGAGCCCAAGCGTACCTACCCCAACCAGCCCATGGCCAACATCGTCTGCCATTTGAAGAGGCGTCGACTGTCAGAGGGAGCCCAGGAGGAGAGCAGCGACCAACAGCTGTGCCAGGAACACAGGCAGCCCCTGCAGATCTTCTGCTCCAGCGAGAAGAACCTCCTCTGCCTTGCCTGCTTGCGGGAGCACCGGGGCCACTCCCTCTTCTCTCTGCCTGAGGCTGCCCAGGGGTACAAGGTAGGGGGCAGGCACCCTGGGCCAGGCTTTCCAAAAGGGGGGAGTTGGGCAGCCCCAATTGCATGAGGCACTCCATCAGGAGACGGGGGCAGACGAATTCGCAGTTGCTCTCCTCGTGGGCCCTGGGACCCCCAGCAGGGCCTCTCCTTGAGTGTGGCATTGGGATCCCTGTAGGCCCCTCTGGGTGGGAGTGCTGCCATTTGGGACCCAGGAATGGCACCCTCTCCTCCGTGCGCAGGACTTGCTGCATGGCCTCCGGGAGCCCCTGCGGAAGGAGGAGCAGAAGCTGCAAAAGCAGAGGCAGGCCGAAGAGCAAAGCCGGCAGGAGTTTCAGGTGGGTCTCTTGGGGAGGGGGCAGGAGGAAGTCCCCCAGGGACTCTGGTTCTACGGCTGGGAAATCTCCCCCCTCCCTCTGAGTCCCCCCTCTTCTTCTGCCCCTCAGGAGCAATTTGCCGCCGAGAAGCAGAAGGTGGGCCTGGTGCTGGAGTCCCTGCAGGAGCTGCTCCGGGAGACGCAGCTGGGCTGGCTGGGCTGGCTAGCCGAGCAGGAAGAGAAGATGGAAGCTGAGTGGGCGGTGGCCCTGGACAAGCTCTCCAGGGAGATCCTCCACCTGCAGCAGCTGATGGCCCAGATGGAGAGGAAGTGCCGCCAGCCAAACGAGGAATTCTTGCAGGTGGGGGGGCCCCTCGCTGGCCTCAAGGGGGGAGCAGAGGGTTCCTGCGGGGGAGGGGAGAACGGCCACCCTTGCGAGGGCCGGCACCCATTTCTCTCTTCTCTTTCAGGACATCCAGGACACCGTAGACAGGTAGGTGCCGTCTTGCCCTTCCCCGCCCATCTTTGTGGGTCACTTTGTGCTCAGAATTTCTGGTGCGGCCTCATCCTTTCAGATTTTGTGGCCGAGAGATCCTGGTTGTGGGGCCTTTGATGCTCTCGGAGCTCGACTGACTTCCTGCAGACATTTCATTACCCAACTGTTCTGTCCTAGGCCTCCCCAAAAAGCACTAAATCAATTCTGGGTCCTGGCAAAACCTCTTTTATTACATTAATGTGAATTTATTTCATTCACAGTCAGCTAACGGCTTGGCAAACTGTCTTGCAAAAGTATGCTAATTAGCTCAGGCCTTATCAGTCGTGGAACGCTGCCTTGTAAATAGTTCCACGCTCAGTGCTGACAGGGAAGGGCTGAGATATACAGAAAATCACGAGGCTCAAACAAACGAGCGAGTGATTTGTTTCCTGCAAAAGCCCTCTTCTCTTTTGCTTCTCTTTTAATCCTGATGGGAGGGGGCATTCATCGTCTACCTGTGCCCTTACTCCCACATTGACCCTGAGTTCGTAATTGTTCCTTCCTTTTGGCAGCTCTGTGCATGCGCAGGCTGGGGACCAGTTCCAGAAGCTCCCTCACCTCAGTGCTGTCCAAGCCTGGAGGCAGCTAATGACTGCCTGCCTATCCTGGCCCCATCTCTGCCTCTGACGCAGAGCCCTCATCCGAACGTTCCTCAGCCTCCAATACTGTTTCGGGTTCCTCTTCAACCTCCTCACTACTGTCCGACTTTGTTGCCAGCTGCAGCAGCTGCCGGTGGGCCACAACACTGACTAGGTAACACCATCAGCTGGGAGGGAGTGGGGTTCGCTCCCCCTTGATATACAAGTAGGTTGCTCTCAGTTGGGGAGCTGTTTGTGGTGCGGTGATTGCTCAGGCGTTGTAAACAACACAGATGAGGCACCACCAACGCAGATCAACTGTCCAACAGCAAACCGCAGCCTAACCAGGGAGCCCCCAAGAAGAGAACAACTGTGATGACTTGGGGTGTGGCACAAAGGCCACATCGTCAAATAAGCAAGAAGAATCCCTTTATTATCTCCAACTTTGCACCCAATGTCCAGGTTACCTTCAGCTGTAGAAAAAACTCTCCCAAGAACAGTCTTTTAAGTGGAGGAAATTCAGTCTGAAAACAGTACATATAAACTAAACAAAAATGCACACAAACCACGCTGCAGCAATTAACTGGACAGGGCAGGAGAAGGAATTGCAGACTTCTGAGGCCAGCAAAACACACCCAGTTGGGAAGACGCCAGGAACCCAGATAAGCCTCGACCATAAAAGATAACTCATAATTTGTTTACAAAGTTGGCTGTGCACCATTGCCCTACCCACTGTTTTTTTCCAGCTGCAGCTAATGAAGGGAATCGGGGCCCTTTCCTCCCACGTAAGCCATGCAACCCACATTGCTCCCTTCTCTGTTCCTCCCTGCGTGCCCTAGGATGAAGAGGGGGTGGGCCTGGGTCTTCGAACTCCCTCTCCCTTGCTCTACCTCTCCCCTGCTCTGCCCAGCCAGACTTTTCCCTTCCCCAGTTTTCTTCCACAGCCAACGGAGCCACACTCCCAGTCAGCTGCTCGGCTTCTTCCTCCGAGTCAGATTCCGACGGGCATGACAGAAGAATGCTTCCAGCAATACTGTCAGGGGAAGGCAGGAGTACAGGCAGCTCTCAACCTCATGACCACAGCTGAAGCCAAGATTTCTGTTACTAAGTGAGACAGTCGTTAACTGAGTTTTTATTACCTTTCTTGCCACACTTGCTAAGCGTATCACTGCCATTGATAGGCTAGTAACCTGGTTGTTAAGTGAAGCTCCCCCATGGGCTTTGGTCATCCGATGACCACATGACCTTGGGATCCAGCAATGGTCATAAGTGTGAACCCGTTGCCAAGTATCTGCATTTGGATCCCATGGCCGGGGGACGGTGCAAAGGTTGAAACTCTGCAAAATGGCTGGAGGGCACTTTTTTCACTGCTGTAACTTTGAACGTTCGCAAAACGAACAGTTGAGGATTACCTCTGTAAGTGAAAGGAGAGGAAGCCACACTCTCCTGTAGCACTGATGATGCTCAGTTGGGTAATGAAAGGTCTGCAAGAAAACAGCCGAGCCCCAAGGACCTTCAGAGGCAACTCTTTTCTGCTGGAGATTCGCTTTCTCTGCAGCCATTCGGACGATTCCCCGGGCAGACTGTCCAGTTGAGGGGGAGGGAAGCGGTAGAAACTCAGTTGTTGCAGGGAACCTGGTTTCTTTGCTTAGGGCCCCTTAGTCCTTGATACAGTAAGATCAGAATCACACTGACGTTTGCGTTGTGCTGAGTTTATGACTTTCCTCGCTTCTTTACTGAACTCTACACTGGTTCAGTGTGCAATCGGTTGCGATCAAAGCAAAAAACAATGTTTGCATAGCAAACAAGCCAGGATTCACGCCACATGCTAAACTCAGGTTTGGAAAACCCGAGTCCTGTACTCACCTGGCAAGATGCTGGAAAGAACCTGCTTGTTTCACACACCCCACGGCCAACCCAGTCCTCACCCAGCCCCCCATGTTTTGGTGAGACAGCAGGGTAACTGTGTGAGGCCGCCCTCCTTGTGTCACAGGTGCCAGAGTTACGTGGTGGGGTCCGTAGAGAGCGCCTCTCCCAGGCTGCAAGTCAGACTCCGGACCCTCTTGGAGAAAAATGCTTCTGTAAGGCGGATTGTGGACAATTCCAAAGGTGAGTGGCCCTTTCAGGAGGAGCTGGGGTTCTTGGGCTCTCCTGCCCCCTTCCTACTGGGGCATCTTGGGGAAGCCAGGCCCAATCCAGCTCCATCCAACCTTTGGCTGGGTGAAGAGGGGGGCTCCCACTTCCACTAATCAGTCACCCCACCATCCGTGGTCCTTGGGGGGGCCACTGGGCACCTGGCAGGGACCGAGATGCTGCCGCCAACAGGGTGGCTTCCGCTCATGGGCATCGCCCATAGGCGGCTGTTTCTCATCCCGGTCCTGTTTTTTCCTTTCCTCCGAATCTCAGCCTCTCTGCAGGCGACTCTGACCAGGGAGAACCTGGAGCGACTTCTGACCACAGGTAAGCCCCCTGGGGCTGGTGGGGGGAGGAGTCAGTGGGGGAGGGGCTTGCAAAGACCACCTGCCCTCACCAGGCCTCACAGCAGCGGTTTCTCCACATCGCCAGGAGTGACGCCTGCCAGGAGTGGCTTCCTCCGTGGGGTGGAAGCCCTGAGTCTGGAGGACCCCAAAGGCAGCCTCTGGGGGAGGAGGGGGTCCCTCACAGCCACATAAAGCTGGCCCTTCCCTGCCACCCCTTGGCCCTTCCAGAAAACAGTCACGGTGGAGGGCTCAGACCTTCCCGGACATAGAAGAGCCCAGCAGGGGCCTCGGTGTTGAACTGTGCCTTGTGAGAAATGGGGGATGGGGCTTCTCCAGGCTCCCCAGCCTGATTTTAAACTTCTCCCTCTTCCTGCCCAGCAGCTGCTCCAGAACAGCCAAGATCTCCTAAAGGTAAAAGCACATGGAGGAAAAGGCAACTTTCCGTAGCGGGTAAAGTCTGTAGAGGGTGGCGGATGTTGGGCATGCCCTGCCTGGCAAGGTCCCTGCCTGAACCAGCCCTCCAGGCGCTAGTAAACGGGGGGACCCCTGAGCCCCGGTCTCTGCAGCCGTCATAAATCCATGCCAGTTACCACAAGTTTTGATCACATAATCCTGGGGATGCTTCAATGCTCGTAAGTGTGTAAAATGATTTTAGGTCACCCTTTCAGTGCCATTGTAATTTCAAACCGCCACTAAAGGAACGGTTGGAAGCTGAGGACGACCTGTGCCATCTCCAGGTGCCCTGGGGAATTGAACTAAATGGAGGGCCTAGTCTGGGTCAGACCCTTGGCCCATCTTTTCCTGGCAGTGATCAGACTTACATCAAATCCATGAATACCAGTCAATTATGAGGAAAGGCAATGTTCTCCAACAGAAGGAAACAGAGAGTCACTGAGACACACTCTCTTCTGAGACTAAGACTAAGACAACTCAGGTTTCTGGCTCCATCTTATGGCCGTTTGAGAAACCACACCCAATTACAGTTTTAAAATGTTTATCCTGGTTTATATATTGTCCAACCCAAATACCTGTTAGGTGACTTATATTCCTTCAGGCCTCCCTGAACCAAAATTTTAAACCAGGGGTGGGATTCTACCAGTTCGCACCTATTCGCTAGAACCGGTTGTTAACATTCTAAGCAGTTCGGAGAACCGGTTGTTAGAAGAAATTACTGGCCTAATCCTGTAAGGAAGGCAGGAAGGAAACATTCTGGTGTTGCTTACAGAAACTGCCTCTCCGTTAACCCTTATTACGTTCTTGGCAGGACTAGACTTCCTGTCTCAGGAACGTCTCTGGAGTTTTTTCCCCTCCTTTGCTGGTACTTTGCTTGTGTGGAGTGACCATTCAAAGTTACAATGGCACTGACAAAAGTGACATGACCATTTTTCACACTTACAACTATTGCAGCAGGAAGGAAACATTCTGGTGTTGCTTATAGAAACTGCCTCTCTGTTAATCCTTATTACATTCTTGGCAGGACTAGGCAGGCCCAGCCAATAACATGACCACCAAGCCACGCCCACCAACTTAGCCATGCGCACAGAACTGGTTGTTAAAAAAATTGAATCCCACCCCTGTTTTAAACCAACATAATTGCAAAATGTGCAAGAAATATTTCTAATGGGCTGACTTGTGTGCTATGTTTCTGCAAAGTTATGTACTTGTATGAAGAGATTTAGAACTGGAAGAATGAAACTGGGGGAATTGAGGAACTGGAAGTAGCAAATGGCTGAGAGGTTCAAATATCCATGGTGTTTGTGGAAAGTGACGGTCAGAAAGAAAGAAGGAAGGAAGGAAAGAAAGAAAGAAAGGAAAGAAGGAAGGAAGGAAGGAAAGAAAGAAAAAGAAAGAAAGAAAGAAAGAAAGAAAGAAAGAAAGAAAGAAAGAAAGAAAGAAAGAAAGAAAGAAAGAAAGAGAAAGAAGGGAAAGTAGTCAATAAAAAAGGAAGTGTAAGAAATGTGGCTTGAGATGAGAATGGGGTCCTTTGATTTATAGCAGTCCTTGAAGGCCTCCATTGCAATGGTTAGTTAATGTGAGTTTTCTGTGGTTATTATATCTCTTGCTTTTCTTTTGTCCCAAATTGTTAGAAACAAAACACCTCTGATCTTAAAGTAAGATTTATTGCTTGTGGTTTGTCTTTGGTTTTCTTGTCAGAATTTTCCTATGATACCCTGAGGCCTCTTTCTCCCCCTTTTCCCTCAGGCTAATTTTTCTGTTTCTCTCAGGCCTCACTCTCCCCCTTTTCCCTCAGGCCTCCCCTCTCTGCTTATCTCTCAGACTTCTTATCTCTCAGACTTCTTTCTCTATCTTTCCCTGGGGCCTCTCTATCTATCCCTCAGGCTCCTTTTTCTATCTTTCCCTCAGGCTTCTTTCTCTATCTTTCCCTCAGGCCTCTCTCTCCCCCTTTTCCTCAGGCCCCTCTCTCTACTTTTCCCTCCCCCCCCCCCCCCCCCCCCACTTCTCTCTCGCCCCTCTCTCTCTCTCTCTCTCTCTCTCTCTCTGTCTGTCTCCATTTCCCACAGGCCTCTTTCTTTACCTTTCCCTCAATCTCTGTGGAGTGGGGTGGATGCTGCTGCAGTCCTCTGCTCAGGTGATGAGGGGAGGGGTGTCTGCTATGAGCTGGCTCCCCCCTCACCTTGGCCCTCATCCCCGGGGCACCCCTGGAGAGGGGATTCAGGCCCCATTAGGGATGGAGACCCAGAGAGAGCTGAGGAATGGCCCCAGAAGGGAACAACCTCTGCTTCCAGGGTTTGGTTGGGCCTTTCAACCAGATGGAATTGGGGCTCTCAAGCACCACAAGATGGCGGGGGGGGGGTCTACCTGTCAATCATTTGCACCCCCACCCCCAGTTCTCAAGGAGAACCTGTTTTCTTCATGGCTTTTTTTCCCCCCAAGTTTTTTTTAATTTCAATCTACACATACACAACAATACATGAACAGTGTGGCATCAATATATCATACATTTTAGCATAGGCTTAATAACTTAATACTTAATACATTTTAGCATAGGCCAACTTAATACTACCAATCCTATCCAATGGTCACTTGTGTGGAGTGACCATTCAAAGTCACGCCCACAGAACCAGTTGTTAAAAATTTGAATCCCACCCCTGCTTAACAGTCATAAGTCACCTTTTTCAGTGCCATTGTGACTTAGAACAGTCCCTAAACGAAGGGTTGAAAGTCAAGAACTACCTCTTATTATTTATTTATTTATTCAGTAAAAGAAGAATATCTCAATAAAGGGGGTTATATTTTTTGTTGTTGTTCTCTTTGCAGTACTTCCTATCTGATGCAGAATTTTTTGATATCTTTGGGAAGACAAAAGATGCAATTTACCAGATGCCTACATGGAAACAGCAAAACGAGAAGAAACAATTCAGATTGTTTTGAACAAAGGGACAAATAGTTGGTGACACCTGAAAACAGGATTGTTTGCAAGACAGGGCACAAAGGTTAAGATGGGGCCACAAATTTATCTTAGAACTGTCAATGCAGGTAAAAAATTGATGGAACTTTGATCGCTCGGTGGCTATACCATCTTGGCTGTTTTGACTTCCTGACTCAGAAAGAAGATGGATCTTGGAAGAGAGTTTCCCAAATTTCAAAAGGACAATTTTAAAAATAAAGTCTTCTAGAAATATGTATGGTCAACAATAATCTTAATGAAAATGATTTCCTAATTTTTCTCAACTGGGAAAATAGTAACTTCCCCTTCCCCACTTGTTCCATTATTTGCACAAGAAATACATGAAGGTTTCTCTCAATTGTTGTTTATTTTTTTTTTAAATATTTTATTTAGGTGTTCTACATAAATGGAAGCAAAATGAAGCCACTGTTTGGGGGATGACTGGCATAAAGAGATAGTTGCATCATTGCACGTGAAAATATTTGACTTTCTACATGTCTGAAATTGGGGTGGAATTGGGAGAAGTGAAATGCACTGAGTAAAACTCAAGACATATTTTTAGATGCCAAACAGAAATGTGGAAAGGACTCAGAAACCTGTAGTTAGGTGATAATACATATCCTTGGTCAGTTTTGCACATACAGATAGTTCTTGAGTTATGACCACGATTGAGCCCAAATTTTGTGTTGTTAAATGAAACATTTGTTAAATGACTTGGTCAAAATTCAAAATAGGTGGGATTCAAAAATTTTTACTACCGGTTCTGTGGTGTGGCTTTGTGGACGTGGCAGAGGAAGGATACTGCAAAATCCCCATTCCCTCCCCACCTTACTAACCTGCTTTCCAGGTCCATTCTCCTGTGCAAGGCAACCCAGGAGACCCAGCCAAAAGAAGATCAGCTGGGACTCGGGAGGCAGAGAATAGATGGGGCGGAGCCAGTCAGAGATGGTATTCGGAACTACTCAAAATTTCTGCTACCAATTCTCCAGAACTGGTCAGAACCTGCTGAGTACCACCTCTGCTTTTGCCCCATTTTATGACCTTTCTTGCCACAGTTGTTAAGTGAATCACTGCAACATAAGTTGTTAAGTGAATCTGGCTTCCCCATTGAGTTTGCTTGTAAGAAGGTCACAAAAGGGGATCACATGACCCCGGGAACACTGCGACTGCCGTAAATATGAGCCAATTGTCAAGCATCCAAATTTTGATCACATGATTACGGGGATGCTACAAAGGTTGTAACTGTGAAAAACGGACATATGTCACTTTTTCGGTGACTTGAACTGTCACTAAATGAATTGTTGTAAGTTGAGGACTATCTGAAAAGGTAACATCAAGTCTCTCAAATTCATTCCATACAAATCGTGGTTAATTCATTCTCTCTCATTCTTACAAAGCCAAATTATTTTTCTTTAAATTATCTCCCTGGGTACTGGAAGCCATAACCCAGGCTGTGGAGAGTCAGACGCAACTTAGCGACTGAACCACAAAAGTTCAAAGGTCACTTTTATTAAGAGTGTAGTATGGCTTAATCAATCCTTTTGCACCTTTCTCTGGCCATGTAATGGTGAAATTAGCTGACTTGATCCCATGAGGATCCTATTGGATAATTCATCTTCCAACAATATTTCTCAACCTCAGCAAACTGAGAATGCATGGACTTCAACTCCCAGAATTCCCTGGCCAACACACTGCCTGGGGAATTATGGGAATTGAAGTACCCTCATCTTCCAAGTTGATAAGGTTGAGATATACTGGTGTAATGGAAGTCACTGAATTGTGTGTTGGTCCAAAAATTGACACATGGATTTTAAATCCCAACCCCTGAAGAAATAGCTCCTAATTTTGAAATCCAGATATGGGAATCTGCTAACAGACATGTGGATTTCTGCAAAAGTGAGGGCCGAGGAGAAAATTGTATGGGTGTGTGTGTGGGAGGAAATCAGGCATCAAAACATAGATTTTTCTTAAAAGTTCCATTTTAATTGTGACAATGAAAAATGCAATCTTGATAATGGATTATAATTCTGTAGCCTTGTTTAAAAAAAAAATAGAGTGTTTTTGTGGTTTTGCTTTTTTTTTTTTTTTTTTGCATTTTCTCCATCATTGACATCAACATGAGGAAAGGTTTTATCACAGTTGTGTTTCAGCAACGCGCTGAAGTCTGATTTATATGGTTTGAATTTTTTGGTCTATGGATGCTATGAAGGATTTCTTGGGCTTTTATGAAGGTCACGGTGAGTGCAGAATGGGTGGAATTATATTCTTACTGCAGGCTAGAATGGGATTTAATTTTTTTCGATTTTTAACATTTATAGTGGTATTATGCCAAACTACATATATTTAGTAATTATGCCAAGGAAATTGGGCATGTGATCTGCAGGTCCTCCAGAGATAATGTAATGCAGGGGTCACTAAACTTGACAACTTTAAGACTTGTGGACTTCAACTCCCAGAATTCTCCATCCAGGTAGGAGAGTTCTGGGAGTTGAAGTCCACAAGTCTTAAAGTTGCCAAGGTTGGAGACCTCTGATGTAATGAGTCTAGGGAGCATGAGGTTATATGCTTGTATCCTGACAAAGCAAAACTTTACTCAGAAAGAATTGCATGTATGTCACACAACACAATCCTAGTTTACTCCTTATGTTTTCATGAATCCGACAGATTCCTAACAGATTCTAGAATCACCCCAATATGTATATTATATATTCATGTAACATAACAAGACCATAAACCGATAATACTAACTGCATGGGTCACTAAATCAAAATGTTGGCTGATTTATGATCTGCCATTCTGAATAAACAACATGATCTATCTGCAATCTCCTTTGAGGCCAAATTGCGAAATAGAAAAACATATCATTTTTAAAACTCATTGATCTAGGGCACTGATTCTCAACCTTAACCATTTTAAGATGTGTGGACTTTAAGACATGTGCACTTCAAATCCCAGAATTCCTCAGTCAGCAAGTCTGGGAGTTGAAGTCCACATGTCTTAAAATTGCCAACAATGATCTTGCCCCTTTCCAAGTAAACGGTATAAATTTATAAATTGGGGCTGAGTGAATCATTTAATTGCAATGCACTAAAACTGGAACCAGCTTTAGGCATCCTATAACAACTTTATCATAAATGAAGGCAGAGGTGGTATTCAGTCGGTTCGGACCGGTTCTGGCGTACTGGTAGCAGAAATTTTGACCAGTTTGGAGAAGTTCGCAAAGTGCGTGTGCGCACACAAAGTGCGTGCGTAGAACTGGTAGGAAAAAAAATTGGAAAACCACCCCTGAACGAAAGTATCATTCAGATAAAACTGATCCTTCTTTCCATCCCCCCCACTGGATTCAGACACTGCCTGCTTTTCAAAAGTAGAGCAGAGATATAAAAACTGCATAAGACAAGCCTCAAAACAATATTTATCTAATTGCTTTTGTGCAAGATATCCAACACCAGTTTAGAGAATACAGGTACAATATACCACCAAATTGAGCCCAAAGTTTCTGGTGCTAAAAACAAGCAGAGATTCAACCTGGAAATAAGGAGAAATTTTCTGCCTTGGAGAACCATCAACCGATGGATCAGAAGTTGCCTTTGGAAGTTGTGGTAACTTCATCACTGGAGGCTTTCAAGAAGAGACTGGACTGCCATCTGTCAGAAATGGTGCAGGGCGGTGGGGTTGGACTAGATGACCTACAAGGTCCCTTCCAACTCTGTTAATCGGTAAACTCTGTAAACATTTGTTAAGTGAATTTTGCCCCATTTTACGGCCTTTTTTTGCCATAGTTGTTTAGTGAATCACTGCAGCTGCTAAATTAGTAATCCAGTTATTAATCCGGAATCTGGTTTCACTCATTGATTTTGCTTATCTGAAAGTTTGCAAAAGGAGATCACGTGATCCCAGGACACTGCGGCCGTCATAAATATGAAGTTGCCAAGGGTCTGAATTTTGATCATGTGACCATGGGGAGGCTGCAATGGTCATAAGTGTGGAAAACAGTCATAAGCCACTTTTTCAGTGCTGTTGTACTGCTGTAAATCGAAGACTAGCTGTTCCTTCACAGACTGTCCTTTGCAAGCAGAAAGATAGTGCTTCAAGATCATGCTTTGATGGTTACGAGCCAGGTATCTTGAAAAAACTAATTTTCCATAGTCACACGTATTTTTTTTTTTATGTTTTGCAGTGGGCAGGTGAATGGTCAGTAAATGAACTGTCATAAGTCGAGGACCACCTGTATTCTAATTAGGATTAGTTCGAATCTGTCTTCTCTGGAAGGAGGGGAAGATGTAAACCTTGCTTAATTGGGTAACAGATGTTTGGAAAAAAAAATGTAAAAGCAAGGGGTATTCAGCAGGTTCTGACCAGTTCTGGAGAACCGGTAGTGGAAATTTTGAGTAGTTTGGATAACCGGCAAATCCTGCCTCTGACTGGCCCCGCCCCATCTATTCTCCGCCTCCCATCGAGTCCCAGCTGATTGGCTGGGTCTTCTTTAGTTGCCCTGCACAGGAGAATGGACCTGGAAAGCAGGTTAGTGGGGTGGGGAGGGAATGGGGATTTTGCAGGATCCTTCCCCTGCCATACCCACCAAGCTACCGCCACAGAACCGGTAGTAAAAAAATTTGAATCCCACCACTGGCTTGGAAGAGTTCAAAAGTCAGGATGGAGCCACAAAGGCATAAAAATAAGGCAAGGGTTCCGTTGTAGCTATGGCTACCATCCTGACTTTTTAAAAAAAACCTTCTTGGAATACCTGTTTGCAAGGTCATTGACTCAAAACTCCTGAATATGAAATTCTAGAATTTTTCTGAAGTATTCCAGTTTTCAACAGTTCGAAGAAAAATCTTTATTAAAGATTTCATTACATCACAGTAATCCAATAACTGTCAAGGACTGCCAACAACTTTGTTAATTCAAATATTCATCTGGTGGATTTGGAAGAAATTATTTTAAGTCATTTAGATTTGCTGATCAAAGTTGAGTTTCTGCTCTCAGATCCATTTGGAATAAAATGCTCTCCTTAGAAAATTCCTGCATATATTTGCAGCAAGTAAAAACATTTATAGAAACAAATAATCTCACAATTTATTTTCCTTCAAAAATAATTTCACGATTGTTATCAAGGTTTAAACTAAATTACAGCTCATTACCAATAAAATGCTATCAACCGAATATCCACTAGCTGGATTTG